AGTTCCATTTCTTTTTGATGGAACTTTTTTCATAATGCCATGTTTGAAAAGTATGCAGTTTTGCACTCTTTCTGAAGATTAGCTCAACTTTGATTCTGTGTATCCTAGGTCTGATGACCCTGTTGAAGACGATAAAGAAAAGAAAGAACTTGGTTGTTTAACAATAGAAAATGGAATCGCACCAAACCATGGGTTGGCTTTTTTTGTTTATTTTTTGTTCTTTTTCTTTTATGTGTGTGTATATATATATTGCAAATAAGATCATTTTTAAAATAAAGATAATTTAATGTCATGTATATTTTTAATATGTTGAATAAACCTTTTCAGTTATGAGTTTGTCATTGAATTCAGTTCAAAGAAACCATCTGCTAAAATATTTAAGGCTATAAGCTCTGCTAAAACATGCAGTACTTCATTTTTCTTTAATGCAACCAGAAGACAAGTTTTTTTTAAATGTACTTATTTGAATCTCTTAGGAACAAGATAAAACTAATAGTACTATATCGTTTGAGCAATTTTGTATCTTACCAGGTACCTAAATTAATATTGATATGAAATTATTAAAACATGATAAGCATTTAAAATTCTTTTTTATGTTTTAGGCTGACTTTTCCTCTTAATTCATGCCTCAAGTATATGTACCCACCACCTTCCAGCACAATCCTAGCAAACATAGTAAATGCTTTGGCAAGTGTGCCTAAGTTCTATGTTCAGGTAAGTAGAATGAAGGTTATTTTCCTCAAAGTACTTATTTGTATAGCATGATACTTTATTTTCCATGCTGATCCTCATACTTATTTACTTTTTTATATTAGTAGTCATCAGACTAATTCCAGACAGGCAATGATATTACAGTATTTTAAAGGTAATGAAATATTACTAATTTCAAGTACAGGCTTTTATAAACTGTAGCATAAATAGGTACTAATAAACAGAAGCTAATTTGGGAAATGTTATTTCTGGTAATTCTTTGTTACTATAGAACACACCTTTAACATAGAGATTCTTAAAGGAAAAGATATAGTGGACCCCTCAGTAAGTGCTCAAAAATATTGACAGTAATAAGATACTAGTTTGAAGTACAAAATATAGATGATGTTTATGTTCTTTATTGTACTTCTCCATGTTTCAGGGGAAAACATACAAAAACATTTCAGTAGGTTTTATATTGCAAGAACGTAACATTTTTAGTAATGGGAATAATTGTATTTGTAAAAATGACAAACACTTTAATAACGTTAATCTGAGTGCCTGTTTTACCTTGTCCAGTTATAATGCCAAGAGATGGGACTTCTTTTATAATAAATTAATCAGTAGTGTTATTGCAAAGATTTTAGTACATAAAATATAAGATGTGAATTGAATCATTTTAT